TTCCGAGTGCCACTGCACTGCATTTTGCCAATCGGCAGGTGAAGGCGCAACGCTTCCCTCGCAGTCACCGCGACGAGCCGCAGACCACCGGCCCTCCGCGCTGCCACTCACTCACACGCGAACACGCGCGCGCGCGCCCCCCCCCCCCGCCCCCCCCCCACACACAACCCCCACACCCACACACAGAGTGAGAGAGAACGAGAGAGAGGAGAGAGAGAGAGAGAGAGAGAGAGGGCCGAAACCGCCACATGTATTAGCAACTCGGTAAACAATAGTAAGCAGTTAGTAAACACTGCACGGCGAGTTTACCGTTGTCTCACGGCGAGCCGCCACGCCGCGATGCCGCGATCGCAGCGCCAAAACAAATAGCAGACTGGGGGATGCGCCTCTCTCTCTCTGTCTCTCTCGCACTCATTGGCACGACGTCCGGACCGGCCGGCCGTCCAGGGAGGGGGTCACGGCCACGACACTGCGTACGATATTTATTCATGTGGGCCCGGCTTGACCCTGCCCTGCCCTATCCTGCATGCGCTCGGAAAAAGGGGGGGGGGGGCACACACACACACTCGCATGCAGACCGCACACACGAGCGCCATCTGGTGGGATGGGAAGGCAAGTTCGTCTATTATTAAAAGCGATAAATCTCTCTGTGCACAATGTGAGTGTGCAAGTGTGAGTCGTGTGTGTGTGTGTGTGTGTGTGTGTGTGTGTAGGTGCGCGCGTAGCGGCTACGTCCGACTGTGTCCGTGGAGTACCGGTTCAGGATCGTTTTGGTTTCGTTTCGGCCCGTCTGAGTTGTGACGAGGGCACCTCCCCCCTCCCCCCTCCCCGCCCGCTGGCCCTGAGCCGTCGATGCAGGACCGATGTCTACGGCGCCATGTGGCTAGCGCGGCGCGCGCGGCAAGAGCGGCCAGCGCCAAACACTGAACCATGTTTGCCCTATCGACTTGCGCGCTAACATTCTCCTAAAGCCCGACAAAAAGTTCATCAGTTTTGCGTATCGCTGCTGTTCTATTTCGCGCGACGTCCGGTCCGATTTTCCGTGTGATACAAAAGTTGATTCCCGCAACCGCCGTCTGGTCGCGGCGGGTTCGAAACAAACCGAGGCGACTCTCTTTTTTTCGCGCGCCGAGCGCCGCAGACACAGTGCAGCAGCAGCCTGCTGGCCGGCCGCAACCACTACGCCATGCCATCACACTGCCAAAGCGTTGCGCCTTGACGCACCCTTCCCGCCCAACAATCCCCACATTACCATTATCCCCCCCCCCCACCACCACCACATCGGCCTTTACAACCCCCACCAGTCATTGCACTAGACTGCCGCTCCTGTTGGCCAGCTTGCATACGCAGAGGGGGCTGCTCTCTCTCTGTCTCTGTCTCTCTCTCTCTCTCCTCTCTCAAAACCCTTTTTTCCCTTCTCTCCCCCCTTCTTTTCCCCTTTTTCCCTCCCCTTTTTCCCCGACCCCCCCACACGGGGAATCCCCAAAAATCCCGCCCGGGGGCTGTTCCCCCCGTTTAAAAGTTTTTTTCGGGGGTAAAGCCCTCCTCTTTTTTCGAGTGTACCGGTGTGGGTGGCACTGCCCCACGCGATATTGGAGGGCATCAACGGTGATGATGAATTTGCATCATATTGCGGTGCTAACTCGGAGGGATTACGCGCGGGGCAGGAGGTCCTGGGCGCGAGGTCCTGGCCAGCCACCTACACCTGCCCGTCCGCACCGCCGTCCAAGCGAGGCTCGCCCAGCAGACTCATGCCGTGAGTCGTTCTCGTCGCTCTGTCTCTCTCGCACTCGCCAGTGTGGGAACGAGAGAGACAGAGCCCCCCGACGCGAAAACGACTCTCGGAATCAGTCTACAGAGGAGCAGACACCCGCGCTGTATTCCGACTCGATTCCTCGAAGATTTTTCACAGTGCGGCGCCCTCTTTACAACATCGATTCGGTCCGGCGATCGACTGGGGACACTTCCATGCGCTGCTCTTTCCTTTCCGAGTGTCACACAGAAGAAGCGAGCCGAAAGAGAAACTCGTCCCCGCTGTTTGGCAGTGTGCGCGCGGTGCCGCGAGTTACATGAGTTACGAGGGTGACGACGACGTCACACCGTCCGGACCAGTCGCTCTGATTTATAGGTCGATGCAAAGTTGTCGTAATTAATGCGTCCAAACACGGCACGCCACTGTAAATGTAGCGGTCGCGGGATTTGAACCCACGTCCACTCAACTCAACTTTCGAAAGTTGCAATACTCCGACAATGATTTCAACCTCACCTCAAAAGAACTAAACATGGTAATCGAATCGCCGCTTTTATTACTTATGGTGGGGTTTCCCCAGAATTTTTGGTTTTTGTTTCCCCCAAAAATTTCCCCCCAGCTAATTTCCCCCGGATGGGTTTTTTCCCCGGCCCCTATTTCCGGTGTTTGGGGGGGTTTCGGAGCCTCTTTTCTGGGGGACCTTTAAAAACCGGGGGTTTAAGATCCCCGGGGAGACTCCCTAAAGGGGAAAATTTCAGCAAACACCCCCCGTTTTTAATTTTTTCACAAAAGAATGGAAACGGGGCGCGGGGGGGCACCGGGGGGGCCCACCCGCCGTCCAAAAGGCAGCCCCCTTTAACCCAAAAAGACAGAAATTGTGGGGTCGATCCTTTATTTTGAAAAATAAAAACCGGCCTAGGCCCAAATTTGCAAATTAAAACCCACAAATTTGAAACCCCCGGAAAAACCCCACTTTTATTTTACAGGGAAATTCTCGGTTGAAAAAAATCCCGCCACTGAAACAATTTCCGACGTTAAAATTCCCCATAACCCGGGATTATCAAAAAAAAACAAAAAACGAAACCCAGAAAAAAGGGTTCTTTTTATTTCTTAAAATTTGAAATTAAAAATATAGAAAATTCTTATCTTCGTTAATTTTTTACGAAAAACCCAAATTTTTTTTTGGCAAGTATAAAAACCACCGAAGAAAACTGAGGTTTACCCATGTTTATGGGCCGGTTTGGGGGCCGCGCAGGGGGGGGGGTTTGGGGGCCTTTTCTTCCCCCTTTTCGAAAAATTTTTAAAAAATACCCCGAAATTTGTTTTTTTCAATATCAAAAAATCCCCCTTTTTAATCAAAAAATTTCGGTTATTCCCCTTTTGTATGGTGCTCGCCCGTTCCTGCGCGCTGTCACTGCTGTCAGTGTGTGTGTGTGTGTGTCCCCCCGAAAATCTCCCGTCCAGCGTAAGGGTT